GATTCCCTACACACACACACACACACACACACACACCCCACCCCCATCTCACTGGCAGAAGTAGGTACACAGGCTCATCTCAGACCTGATTCAGACAGGATTCCCTCCTTGAGCTGGGTGTCAAGTTACCTTCCTCAAGCAAGGAGTAAGTGAAATCAGCCTCCATTTACAGGGCGAGGAGAATTCAGACAATATCCAGCAATGTGGATCCCAGGAGCTATAGGGGCCAACACAACTCCAAAGGGCAGTGGGTAGAGCTGACTGGCAAATGCAGACAGAAGGCATTTATCTTTCTTCTTTCCTTTTCAAAAAATTCATCTCATGTTTTTTCTGCTCACAAAAGTTGGGCATGTGCTGGGCATGGTGGTACACCCATATAATACCAGCACTTGGAAGACTGAGGCAGGAGGATTGCAAGGTCCAGGCCAGCCTGGGCAAAGTTAGCAAGGAAAAAAAAAAAAAGAAAAAGATGTGCCTTTTGGCAAGGCAGAGAAGTATGTCCTGTGGGCAGTGAAAGGGTTGAAATCAGGGGTGCATGCATAGAGCAGAGCCTGGGCAGCCTTTGCAGACAGGTCATGTGCTGATGTGGAGGTCTCCAGAACACACAGTCTAGTGTAAAGGGCAGGAACAGAGAAGGCTGCCATCTGTTCCAAGGAGCAGTTGGGAGGACCCACGCCCTTGTACCTGAGGGCGCTGTGTCTGCATAAATTCTCTGCTGAGGAAGGAAGGGTGGGCTGCTGCTGCCTCTAGAAGGAACAGATGCCACTTCCTTTTTACCCTGTGCCACACTCCCCATCATTACTGCCTCTGGCGATAATCAGATGGTGTACACTGCTCCAGAGGCTTCTCCAAACGTGTACCCTTCCAGATTTCTTAAGCATTTTGACCATTACCTAGAAGAGGAAAACCATTTTACTTTCTCGACCATCATGGACATCTGATCAGGAATTAAGTTTCACAAAACCACTTAATCCTTAGTGATGTACACTAATGATTTTATTCTAGTCTGTTTTCCTCCTCCTTACGAATGGTCAGATCGGGCACCAGTGGCTCACCCCTGTAATCCTAGCTACTTGAGAGATTGAGATCTCAGTCTGAGCAAATAATTCACAAAACTTCCATCTCCAAAATAACCAGAGCAAAATGGGCTGGAGGTATGACTCAAGCAGTATAGAACCTGCTTTGTAAGCATGAAGCCCTGAGTTCAAACTCCAGTTGCACCAAAATTTAAAAAGAAAAGGTCAAGACACACTAAATTGATTTTAAAAACACCATATTATATGTGTATATAAATTCATATGTAAATATAGGTTGATAAGGTGTTTTCTCCCCCTTTTTCTTTTTTTCTGTTGTTTGGAGATAGGGTCTCACAGTGTAGCCCAGGCACCTGGGATCTGGGCATGTGTCACCACACCTGACGCGCGCGCACGTGCGTGTGTGTTTATGTGTGTGTGTGTGTGTGTGTGTGTGTGTGTGTGTGTGTGTGATGCTATGCATCATGCCTTGTTTCCATTTACTAAAGTCATAGACATCTGTCTTCATCCATAAACAGAGGTCTATCTCCTTCTTTGCACTGGCTGCAGAGTTTTCAGTCATAAGGTTATACTTAGACCTATTTACAAAAGTCAGAGAGCTAGGGGGTATGACTCAGTGGTAGAGCACTTTCCTAGCATGTACAAGGCCCTGAGTTCAGTCCCAAGCACTGCAAAAATAAAGATTGTAGTTAATTCTTTTGAGACTGTGTCACCACGTTGCCCAGACTGGCATCGAATCTGTGCTCCTTCTGCTTCATTCATGCCCACATTTTTGTCAAGCTTTTCTGTGGCATGAGCTTGTGGGAGGTCAGATGTTAGACCTATGCCCTTCATCCTTCAGGTCTCAGCTCAGATTACTCCTTGGGGAAGCCTTCCTAACCGTTCCTAGTGTCATAAAGTCTGTCCCTGGTCTTACATGCCTTAGTGACTCCCTGGTCATCTCTCCACCAGTATAGAACCTTTGCTGCAATTATAGATATTGCTGAATTGTAGAAAGTGCATATAGTTGGCTTTTAAAATCCAGTCTTTCTTTTAAAGTGTTTAAACCACTCACTTAATGTAATTATTGGTGGTAATTGGATTTATATTGGACATTTTACTATTGTGTTCTGTGTTTCCTTCCTTTCTTACTCCTCTTTGTCCTTCACTCCCTTATTCTCAGTTACACAAGTATAATTCAGTATGCCATTTGGGTTCTGCTTTTAGTTATTCTAATATGCATCTGTCAGTGCCATTTGAGTTATTATAATATGTATCTCTCAATGTCATTCAAGTTAATTCCAATAAAACATAGAACCTTTTCTCCAGTATAGCCCCATTTCCTTCCCCCCCTTCGATTTTTTTTTTTATTGTACTGAGGCTTGAACTCAGGGCTTCACACTTGCTAAGCAAGTACTCTTCCACTTGAACCACTCCAACAGCCAATCATTTGTGCAGTTTTTGTCATGTGTTTTATTTCCGTATGTGTTATAAAACCAACAGTAGAGTGTTATAATTATTGCCTTATCTTACATCTTTAAGAGAGTTAAGAGAAGAAATACAAAAGTATAAATACATAGTTTTACTTTTTTTTTTTTACTATTTCTTTTTTTTATTATTGTTTTATTCATATGTGCATACAAGGCTTGGGTCATTTCTAGTTTTACTTTTTAAACATATCTTGGGCTCTTCATTTCTCCCTACAGATTCAGGTCACCATCTGGACTCATTTCCTTCAGCATGAGAACTTCATTTTGTTGTTTCATATTAGGCAGACATGCTAGCAATAAATTCTGTCTATCCAGGAACATCTTTAGGTTGCCTTCATTTTTCAAGAATAGTTTTGCTGGATATAGAATTTTTTTGGGGGGCGGGGTGGTCAGCACTGGGGTTTGAACTCAGGGCCTCGTGCTTGCTATGCAGGTGGTCTAACACTTGATCCACTCCAGCCCTTTTTTGTGTGTTGGACATTTTTGAGATAGGGTCTCACTTTTTCCTGGTCTGGTCTCAAACTGCAATCCTCCTGTTCTTTTCCTCCTGAGTAGCTAGGTTTATATGCGGGAGCCACCATTACCGAGCAGAATTTTTGAGAGCTTATTTGGAGGTTCTAGTGATGGAGCACAACTACTTGTATACTCTTGACCAAAGAAATATCCTCCTCTATCAGGGAAGGTTGACCAAGCACACAACTTCAGGAGATCAGCCAGATCAGCTGTGTCAACCCTCACAATCAGTCACTTCACATCCTCACGTCACGGATACAGAATTTTTGGCTAGGAGTTTTTTCTTTCAGCACTTTGAAAATGACATTCTCGATTCCATTGTCAGCATTTCATTGTGGTGCTGTTCCTCGGATGTGATCAGTCCTCCTTCCGGGATGTCCTCAAGATTTTTATCTTAGTGTTTGACTTTCAGGTATTTCTGGAGGTATAAAATCTCTTTGTATTTATCCTATTTGGGATCTGCTGGACTTCATAGATGTATACATTAATTTTTTTATCAGATTTAGGAAGTTTTCAAATACTTCTTCTGTCCCTTTCCTTCTGAAACTCCTGTTAGATTCTTGATATACCCTTGACACTGTCCAAAGGTTCTGCTCTCAAAGAACTTCTTTTTTCACCAAGCCAGGGGGAGAAGGGCAGGGAGCCCTGCGCCACAATGCCACAGGGGCCCCCTGTTACCCACCAGTCAGCAACTTTTTTGAGCATAAATGCTTTGCTGATTATTGTGTGCCTTTGATCAGTCTTGTCCTCTTTGGAGAAAGGACTTGCTGGTCTCCTCATTAGACCATAGTCAAAAGTCCCATCTTTAGAGGCCACCAAATTGACCTTCAAAAAGAATGTATTAACTTATATTTTAAGAGCATTAATTTTTCTCATCAAATACCTCTTATTTGAAATTGCAATTTAAAAAAAAAAATTTTAGAGTTGATTTTCTGCATCAGTGGGTCCACAGAATATGGTTCCAACTGGCAACACTAGGTTCATTGGAGCATTAAGTCAGCAAGAATCAAATATTTGAACTATAGGACTGTGATTGCAGATCAGCTGGCTAGACTGGTATGTCATGTGTACTAGGTGCTCAAGAAAAGTTTGAATAAACAGGCTATGGGGCAAAATATGTTTTAAATTTAAGATCATGCCTAGTGTGTGAGAGGCCCTGATTTCTGTCTCCAGCACCACTCTCTCTCACACACACACACACACAAAATCATAAGTTACAATTGGTAAAAACAAATGGTATGACCTCAGTAATGTGAAAACATCCTCCTCCCACCTAACCCCCCAAAAAAGCCCCTTTCTCTGTGTACACATGAATGCTTTTAACATAAAGAAAAGATGGATAAGTAAACAGAGCAGTTTGTCAGCCATGGTTACTTCTAGAGATGGCTGGGCAGGTGGGTCCCCACCTTCATCTACATAGGTAGTACCAAAGGGACCAGGAGTGGATCGATTACTTTTGTGTTGTGGCGTCCAAAATACCTGAGAAAACAACTTAAAAGAGGAAAGTTTTATTTTGGTTCCCAGTTCGGAGGGTTCGTCCATGGTTGCTTGAGCAGAACATCATGGTGACGGGAGTGTATGGAGGAAAAGGGTCTTCACCCCATGTGGGCAGGAAGGAACAGGGAGGGATGAGCAATGGGGACCAGGTGAAACCTTCAAAGGCACACCTTTGACGTGACCCACATCCTCCTGCTTGGCCCCACCTCCCCATGTTCCTACCACCTCCCAAAATAGCACCACCAGCTGAGGCCCAAGTATTCAACACAGGAGCCCATGGGGGACATTTCATATTCAAACCATCACAAGGGGTGACTCTTTAGGTTCCCATAGAGACACTGGGTATGCCAGAAGGGCATCCCGGGCTGGCATCAGGTCTGTGCAGACATTTCCCCTTTTCTTCTTGTGGGCTCTGCTATTACTGCAGCAAAATATTTGTATCTCTCTCAGTCAGTGAACTTACTTTCTTTTGCTTTTGTCTTTGCAGTGACATGGGCTCCAGGGCTGGCTACCCTGCTCAGGTTTACAAAACCACCAGTGCAGAGACTCCTCGGGCCTCTCAGCTGGCCCAGTCCAGCCCCTTCCAGCTCTCCACCTCTGTCCCCAAGTCCTTCTTCTCCAAGCAGCCTGTGCGCAATAAGCACCCAACGGGGTGGAAGAGAACAGACGAGCCCCCACAGCGGCCGCTCCCCTTTGCTGACCCCAAGAAGTAAGTACCCGGACACACAACAAGGCCACCCAGGTGTGTCTGGGGCAGGGGAGGGTGATGATGACTGTGCTGGTTCACACACCAGGGATACAGCTGTGAATGAGGACCAAAGATCCCTGCTCTTGAGAAGTTGGCAGTGGTTGGGGTGACACACAGTAAATAGAAGAAATAAGAAGAGCTTGCAGGGACTGGAGGAATGGCTTAAGTGGTAGAGGGCCTGCCTAGCAAACTTGAGGTCCTAAGTTCAAACCCCATTGTCACCAAAAAAGAAAAAGAAGAAGAGCTTCCAGTAGATGAGATTGTGGTTAGCACTGAGTGATGTCTGAATGAAGCACATTCCAGGCAGGGGAAAGAACAGTTGCTGCAAAGACCCTGAGGCAGGAGTGGGTTTGGACTGTGTGGGGGAGGGTTCCTGTGACTGCCCTGCGACAGTGGAGATAGTGAGACGTGAGATAGGAGTGGCAATGGGGACAATTGTAAAGGGTCTGATGGGCTGCTGGTAAAGGCTTTGGCATCTGCTCTAGTGACATGGAATCACAGGAGTGTATGGAAGAGAAGAGGACATGATCTGAATTGGATGCTTACAGTCCCCATAGCTGTCCCGTAGCTGTCAGGGACAGCCTGCAAGGAGCTGGGAAGATCCGCTGTCGAGGTTCAGACAGGACAGGGTGGGGTGGGGGGTATGTCAAGGAGACAGGTGTGGGACAATGTCTGAAACAGCACTCCAGCTCTGCTGGCAGGGGGGCATGGTGAGAAAACAAGGGCAACAAACAGACAGCCGAGCTGAGGATGGTGCAGGTGCTGGCCTTGGATCTCTGCAGCCAAGATGTGTGCTGTGATTGAGATGCACAGAAAGAAGATGTCCCAGTGGAAGTGGAGGATGAGTTGCTTGGAGTTCAGTGGAGGTCAGGCTGCCAAGACGAATCAGGGCGTGGCCAGCACAAAGTCACGAGGCAGGGAGTTTGCATAGAGGAGGGGAAGGTGAGGATACAACCTGAGGCCCTCAGTGTCTCCTGACTACCAGAAGGATCCAGCGAAGGAACCTGCAATGGTGCTGCCAGCAAGGAAGAGGAGGCCAGGAATGGGACATGTAAGAGACCAGAAGTCAGATTGGATGAGCCTGAGAACTGAGTGCAGGATCCAGCCTTGCAGAGGTCATTCAAGGGACTGGGAGGAAAGAGAAAAGCAGAATTGAGGTAGCCATTTGAGCAGCTCATTTGAGGCATCTTGCTGTAGAGTGAAGAGGAAAGAGGGCTCTTGGGCTGGGGGTGTAACTCAGTGGTAGATCTCTTACCTAGCATTCAGGAGGTCGGTCCTAGGTTCCATCCCCAGCACTGAAAAAAAAAAAAAAAAAGAAGGAAAGAAAGGGCTTTTTGTTTTCAATTGCAGAATATATCCAATGCTCACTGTATACCAGGCCCAGTTCTGAGTTCTGAGTTCTTCTACATGAATTACTTCCCTGCATGTTCACAGCAGCTCTGTACTCTCCCTACGTTACAGATGAGGCAAGGGGTGGAGCTCAGATCAGGGCCCCGGAAGCCAGGTCCAAGGCTCATGTTGTGAGACATCTCCACCCAACTCCATCCTGTTTTTTCTAGTGCCTTCTTTCATGACCCAGATGGGCATTCAAATCTGTGGATGAAACAGCTCAGAGGAGAGGGGTGTCAGGAGACGGAAGCAGGTCCCTAAAGATGTTGGCATGCAAGTGTGCTGAGTTCACACTGAGAGTCCAGGTCATGTCTCACTCGATGACAAGCAGAGGGGATTCTGAAAACTAGATTCTCGTCATTCACTCCCCTGTCTATAGCATCCAGTGGTTTCCCCTGCCTAGGATTTATGTCAGAAGACTCACATTCACTGAGCACTGTTCATAGCAGGTACTTGCACACTGGGTTCTAGGCCCAAACCCCCTGCCCAGAACTACCCTGAATTGTCCCCACTTCTCACTCCCTCCCTCACCCTGCTCCAACCATGCTGGCCTCTTGTTGCTCCTAAACTCACCACACATAGGCCTCCCTCAGGACCTTTGCACTGGCTTCCAGCCACCTGGAATTCTCTTCCTCCAGATCTTCTTGGCTAGCTCTGTGAAGGTTCTAGCTTATGCCACATCTTCAGACGGGCCTTCCTGAACCTAAGTAGCCCTCACTGTCATTCTGTATCCCACTGACCATTTCCTGCATGGAAGGCAAGTGCATCATCTTGGTCACAAGATACTGGTGACTGGCCCAGCATACTGTGAGTGCTCAGTCAGTACTTGTGCAAGCCATGGATCTTGTTTCATTCCCACTGCTACCCCAATAAGTCAATATTGTGAGGCCCCCTACTTTTCAGTGTGGCTCTTAACCCCATGTCCCTCCATGATCCACAGCACCTGTGGCAGGCCTTCCCCTGTGTGCCACCTTGGCCTGGGGTCCCCATGACTTCATGCCACTGCCTGCACCAGTTTCCTCTGGCCGTCCAGACAAAAGACTGCAGACTAACAGGGCATGAGTGGATCATCACAAAGCTCTGGAGGCCACAAGACTTCAGTCAGCATCAGCAGGGTGGCCCCTTCTAAGAGCATGAGGCTGCTCTGAGCAGCTGCTAGTTTGCTGGCAGTCCTTGGCGTTCCTGGTACAAAGTGCCCAGCTCTGGTCTTTGCTTCATCTTTACGTGGCCTCCCTCTGGAAGGTCTGTGTCCACATTTCCCCTTTGTGCAAGGCTCCGTCCTCATGGCCTCATTTTAACTTGATGACATCATCATAGACCTGTTCCAAATTAGGTCATGTTTGGAGATACTCCCCAGTTAAGACTTTACAACAGATCCGTTTTTTATTTTATTTTATTTTATTGCTATTGATTGAACTCAAGCACTCTACTACTGAACTATACCCCCAGCACTTGTTTTGTTTTTTTTCTTTTTTTTTTGAGGCAAGGTCTTACTATATAGCCCAAGCTGGCCTTGAACTCACAGCCTTCCTGCCTCTGCCTCCCAGGTGCCAGGATTACAGGATTTGCCACCACACTTGGATTTTAAACATAATCTTTTTTAGAAGAATACAATTCATCCCTTCTCAGTCTTTTAGCTAAGATCCAGTGTAGATAGTGACCAGGTGCCAGTGGCTATAATCGTAGCTAATTGGGAGGCTGAGATCAGGAGGATCACAATTCAAGGCCAGCCTGGGCAAATAATTTGTGAGACTCCCCCGCCATCTCCAAAAATAACCAGAGCAAAAATGGACTGGAGGTGTGGCTCAAGTAGTGGAACACCTGGCTTTGCAAGCACAAAGCCCTGAGTTGAAACCCCAGTCCCACCAAAAAAAAAAAAGTGTGGAGGTCACAATCCAACCCATAATAGCACCCCACAAATCTCCATAGAGATATACCTTTCTCTAAAAAGACACCCACCCCTTGATGGCTTGCCCTTTGCCCAACGTAGTGCTTCTCCCCATCCACAATGCCTGTCCAGGACAGATCCAGTGGTCATTCCCATGGTGACTTGCTTCCTCTCACACCACAAGACTGAGAGCTCTAGAAAAGGCACCTTGAGCCTCCACCCAGGCCCAGCACATACTAGGTGCCCGGAAAATATCCTGAGATACACAACAACCCTAAACTACAGCCCCCTTTCTCCCAGTTACAAGATGCAAAGATGGATATAGCAACATGCATGCAGGTTGAATAAGTAGATGTAAGCTAGACATGAACTACGTGGACATGGAGGAGAGGGTTTCCTGGTTTCTTTGTAATATTTGTTGATTTGGTTACAAACTTTTAAAATCACATCCATAAAATATTAAAATAACTGCTTTTGTCCACACTTCCTTTTCATGGAGTTCACTCAGACTGTCCCTGAGCATTTTGGAGATAGCAGCCTTGCCCTTGTTAGAGGTACTTTCGAGTCACCTAACCTAGTTTTCCAGAAAATACCACTTTTGCTTCTGACTAAGTTATTTGAGCTTAAACATGGGCTTTTTTCCTCTCTGTGCTTGATGATATCACAGTTTTACCCCAAGGCACAGATCTTGTTTGTGTATCTGATTTGGCTACCTTTAATCAGTATCTACTCTGCCAAGCGCTGTTGGAAGCTCTTCCCCTACACTAATGCATTTAATCCTCACTACAGAAAAGGAGGGATGGTACTTTAGCTCCCCATTTTCCAGAACAAACGAGAAACACTCCATTAGTGGAAGTTTAATCACTGCACATGTTAGGATTGTTGGTTTTGTAATTTGTCCCTACAAGATCACCACATAATATGAGCTCATTCCCCCAGGAGTAATTACCAAATCTGCTAAACATCTTCACCTTCTTCTTCACTGATCCAAGTCAGGGATCTCTAACACATCGAAAACTGGCCTTGACTGAGGCTGTGTTCCCCAGAAAAATGGCGCTGGCGCAGCCAACATAGAAAGCTCTGTCTGTCAGCCAAGCCACTCCGTGTGGACTTTGTAGGCCTGCCCTGTTGATTCAAACCCAGTAAGATAAGGGACAGAGCAGCTTGTCATTCAGAGACTGGGTGGGAGGACTTGCAGAGGGGACAGTGATTTGCATCTTCTGAAAAATTTTTGGAGGAAGCGCTCTGCCTTCTAGGTGTGTCTATTTCTTGAATGAAAGACAGTGTAACCCAGTAAAGGACAGAGTGTGTGCTGCGGGGGCCAAGCATCTGCCGCTAAGGTCCTCACTTAGCCCTGGCCTGCAGCTCTGCCTCAGGAATGACCAGGCAGGCTCCTTTTTGCACACTTTGACCTGGGACTCTCAATCCGGTGGCCTGCCTTTGCCAGTCACCAGAGAGCAGCACGGGGGGAGGGGAGAGGAAGCCAGTGGCCCCACCTCCAGGGTTGCCATGAGAATTTTCTGAGTCACTCCAAGGTCGGGATGCACAGGATAGCCAGTAAGGGTGCGCATAGGCAGCCAGGTCCAGGCTGACTGGGATGAGGAGGCCAGTCTATGCCCAGGGGAGCAGGGGTAGGACCAGCAGCCCTCAGCATCCTTGGCACCTTTCCCCTAAAAGGCTGATC